AATGCCAAGAAGCTCAGTAAGTAACCGACTGTGACTAGTAATAATCAGATATATAGAGATTAGAAACGCATGTGCCAACATCTTAATGTCAATTGCATTGAAAATGAATTTTTCTGTATGAAATTGTGTATTTTAATAATGAAATGGAGTTCTTTTTTAAAGGTTAAAACCTCATTTAATTTTATGTCTTATAGGGTTTATACTGAGTACAATATTGTATAACTGTAATAATTCAACTGTAAGACTAAAAATTTATAGCCAATTTTGAAAAAGATGCATCTTAGCTCAGAAAATTGTTATTGAATACATCAATGCTGTTGTAATGAAATGCTTCTTCTAAGTATGTGGTTATTAAATAACCATGGATTATCTGAATAATTTTAGAAATCTTAATGCTTATCTGCATATCTGGATAATGTAAGTTGTCCCTATATGTGTTTTCTTGTGTGGAGAGGAAGTTAGAGAGACGTTGTTTACTTTTTTGTTATAAAAATGTCAAATATTTTGATGTTTTCATTTTAAATATTACTTGTTCATTTTCACTGGAAAAGTAATTTTTATTATTTCTTATGGTTTCAACTTATTTTTGTGCTTTTTAAACTCTTAAAATGAGAAATTAACTATTATGTGACATAATCTAAAAATCAATGAAGTGATACTAAAGAAACTTACATTACCCCAGATGATTTTCTCAGTTGAGTTCAGATATAATTTTTCCTTATTTATTTATTACCTACACAGCAGATCATCCATATTTCTAGTCTCCATGTCTGCAGTTGCAACCAACAGTAGACTATGTACTATACAGATAATCCTATGATGGTTGTGAATATATTGAACAATTGCAGATTTTGGACATCATTACTCCCTAAACAATGCAGTATAATGACTATTTGTATAGCATTTACATTGTGTTAGGTATTATAAGTAATTTAGAGATGATTTAATATACATAGGAAAATGTTTGTCTCTTTATATATAAAGTACTTGAGCATACATAGATATTTTTTATTCATCAAGAGTCCGGGAAATAATTTCTTATGAATACAGAGGAACAGTTCTATGATGTTTTAAAGTTAGTGTCCATTTTTCTGAGAAATTGAATGTGTTTATTTTGGAACACATCAAAAAAAGAAGAGACTTGCTACTAAAGAGAGTTCAGCTAGTATCTAATGTATATAAGAATTTCCATAAAGAACTCTGTCCCAGGGAACTGTCTCTGCTACATCCTCTGGGAGGAAGACAAATGAGTGGCCTATGTGAAAACAATGCCCAAGAGGTGTTGGGAAAGGAATAAAAACAGCGTGTCCAAAACATTCTTCATATTTCCTGCTACTGCCTTTTCTACCAAGGCTTTTTTTCCTTGCCTGGCATCTTGTATTAGCTGAAAAAGTTGATTTCAAAAGCAATTAAAAATTTGTGATGCTGGGTTTTGAGCCCAGGGCCTTCTGCATGTTAGGGAAACCCTCTACCACTGACCTATAGCTCCATCCCTGAAGCTGATTCTTAGATATATACCTGTGGATAATAAGTTCTCTGCCTTTTTCTATTAGTCTGAAAATATTCTAATAAATTCCTTAATAATTATTTTTTACTAAATGATATAAAAAAGGTAAGTAAAAGACACTTAAAAACTTATAGATGGTCCATAGTAGAAAATATCTAAAGCACATTTGAGCACTAAATGAATAGAAAATAAGTATCTTACAGTAAAATTATTTAATAATCTAAATAGACTCTGATTTTTAAAATATTTAAGAATCTAATTCATTAATATAATGTTTTTAAATATTTCAAATAGAACATAGAATTTTCATGTGAAGATCTCAGACTTAGAACCATTCCTAAATTCTCTGTGCTGATATGAAATCTTGAATGATGTCAAGTTCAAGAAAAGTATAGGGGTGATAGTCATTCAGGAAACACTCTTTTTTAAAAATGTTATTTATTATTTTTATTTTATGTGCATGCATGCATTGCCTGTATGTAGGTAAGTGCACCCGTGTCGTGCAATGCCCGCGGCAGGTCAGAAGAGGCTGTTGGATCCCCTGGGACTGGAGTTACAGACAGTTGTTAGCTGACATGTGGGTGCTGGGATTTGAACCCAGGTCTTCTGCAAGAACAACCAGTGTTCTTAACTGCTGAGCCATCTCTCCAGACCCTCAGGAAACACTCTTACATTATAGGCTCTTCCTAAGAAGTTTTTAAATTCCAAGCTTATAGTCTCCATGTCTACCTAACTTAAGGCACTAGCTGCTTTTGATATTTAGAACTTTTCCAGTTATTAGCAGATGGCAAGAACAAAAGATCAATAACACGTTAAAATATGGACACAAATTTTCTTGCATCATAAAGTTAGGGTTAGAGAATGAAAATGAAATGATTTAATGAGTATAATAAGCTTAGTGTTTTGGCACAATGGCACATTAAGGACCAGTTACAATTATTATTATTTTATTATTATAATTGCTCATTCTGGGTTAGCACAATAGAACTGTAGGGCACTATGTATATCTCAGCTGTGTGACTTTCTTTGACATCTTGTAAGATGACTTTTGAGGGTTTCATGACAGCAAGAGTATCCCAGCTGAGTTTTCTAAGCATTGGAATGTAATCTAGTGCCCTTAGTCACTAATTGACCCTGAGAGTAACTCAGAGTTTCTTCACTGTAATACTGTCTTAACCAACTATCTGAATATATTCCACCCCAGAAAACTGTCAGTTTCTTGAAACACTTGTCATTAAAAAAAGAACAATATAAAAATTTGCATTTCCTAATTTGTTTCTCAAATGTTACTTTATTTAACTAGTGAATTTTGTTATTTTAAATATGCCCTTTACATGAAAACTAAAGTAATATGAATATTCTGAGCATGCACATGAGCAGGTCTCTGTGGTCCTAAATTGTAAAATTGTCCAGACTTCTTACAGAAGTTACCTGGAGTTTAAAAATGTATCTGTAACTGCATACCATCATTGGATCACTGACAATTGTCTAAAGTTAGAGAAAAATGTAATGATAATTCCACTCAGTAAGTGAAAATTCCTACAAGATGGGCAGGTTCAATAAAATTTAATATTGAAAGATCAAATGCCAAAGTTTCATCCAAATACTCAAGGAAAAAAATGCACAAAAGTACAATTTTGAGCTTTTAGGAAAATAAGTCATTGTGGCTCAACTCCTTTAATTTATTCTTTAGAAAATAGATGTTACTAGTATTTAAGCAAGCAAGGTGATTCATGTCTATAGTCCTGAACACTTAAGAGCCTGAATGGATTACTTGAGACCATAAGTTTGAGACAAGCCAGACTCCATTTCAACAACAGCAACAATGTCTTTACATTTCCTGCTCATTTCCAAATAGCCAAGATCGTTGAACACTGAAGTTTTTTATTTCCTACAAAGGTGATATAATTCTGGTGACTAATTAGGGTGGGATAAAACTGCTTTGATGATTCTCATACTTCAGACAGTTGGTTGCTTTTTATTCTGATATACTATCACAATTCTTTAATCTCTCCTAATATTTTAGTAATGCCTTGCAGTGGTGCCTCTGAAAATGAACCATCTGCTTCCTCAGCTCCATGCCATATCTACACCATCTATGGAGACATAGATCAGTTATCTTCATTTTAATAGCCTCTGCTTATGACTTTTATGCAGATGAGGTTTGAAAACTATTACTTTAGAATTTCTAAGACATGGTCAAGTCTACTTGCCACTTAATCTTCATTAGAATTCAGGGAGATAGTTCTCAGCCTTATAACACATAGGAGAAAATTCAGTTTCAGAATGGTTAGGTTACTTGTTGAAGAAAGTTGCCTTTAATTTATGATCTCATAAAGAGAAATTGAGTCATTCAAAAAATTATTTCTCTCTCAATGTACTATACCTTACCTTCTATTATTGCATGGCCAACCCTAACCCTATTCCATCATTATTCTTTTTGGTCACCACTATGAACAAAAATTGAAGAGAATGACAGCAATAAATGAGAGTGTCTCTGAAGAGTTCATTCTTCTTGGCTTTGCTGACCATCCTTGGCTGGAGCTCCCTCTGTTCATTATTCTTCTGGTAACATACCCCTTGACCATGATGGGGAATGTCACCATCATTCTGGTGTCCAAGTTAGATGCACGTCTACACAGCCCCATGTATTTCTTCCTCACCAACCTCTCCTTTCTGGACATGTGCTACACCACAAGCATTGTGCCTCAGATGCTGTTTAATCTGGGAAGCTCCAGAAAGACCATCAGCTATATGGGGTGTGTAGTTCAGCTTTATGTCTTCAGTATAATGGGGGGATCAGAATGTCTTCTCCTGGCTGTTATGTCCTTTGATCGCTATGTGGCCATCTGTAGACCTCTCCAGTATACTGTCATCATGAATTCATGCATCTGCATCTTGTTTGCCTCCATTGTGTGGCTAGGTGGGATGGCTTATGCTTTCTCAGAGGCCACTCTTACACTACAGTTGCCACTCTGTGGCATTGATAAATTGGATCACTTGTTATGTGAGATTCCAGTTCTGATAAAGACTGCCTGTGGTGAAAAGGAGGCCAATGAGATTGCACTCTCTGTGGTATGCATTTTTATGCTAGCTGTTCCTCTGTGCTTAATTCTCACTTCCTATGCTAGTATTGGACATGCTATACTTAAGATCAAATCTTCTGCAGGAAGGAAAAAGGCCTTTGGAACATGTTCCTCTCATCTCATTGTAGTTCTCTTATTTTATGGCCCAGCCATTAGCATGTACCTTCAGCCCGCCTCCTCCATCACAAGGGACCAGCCCAAGTTCATGGCTCTTTTCTATGGAGTGGTGACACCTACACTCAACCCCTTCATCTACACCCTGAGGAATAATGATGTAAAGGGGGCATTGGGCAAACGGATGAGGAACATTTTTAATTCTAAGTGATAGTAAGTAGACAACAAATGAAATTATTAGAAACTTGAATAAGGTTTATATGAGTTTCTTCAAAAATGCATTCTTGTTTTATTGATCTCATGTAGATGTTTTTGCAAAAGATGTCATATTTTATATTATTTCTTAATTAACTTTCACTGGTTGGATATTATGCTGGTTAATTTTGTCAACTGGACATAACTAGAAGCTAGGAAGAAGGAACCTCAGTTGAGGAATTTTCTCCATCAGAGTGGCCTATAGGGTATTTTCTTGATTGTTAATTGGTGTAGGAGGGCTCAGCCCACTGTGGGAACTATTTTGGGGCAGGTGGGCTGGGCTGTATATGAAAAGTAGCTGAGCAATTGAGGAGAAGAAAGTCAATAAGCAGCACTCCTCCATGGTTTCTGCTTCAGTTCCTGCCTCCAAGTTCCTGCTTGAGCTCCTTCCCTGGCTTCCCTAGATGATGGACTGTAACCTGTAAGCCAAATAAATCATTTCATTCCCAAGTTGGTTTTGTCACTGTTTTATCACAGTAACAGAAAAGTAAAGAGAACAGACACACTCTGAGAAAATATTAAAAAATGTTCAGTTTGATACCTACATGCTGAAAAAGAAACATTATTGAATAGTTCATAAATTCACATCACAGGGCTGGTGAGATGGCTCATTGGGTAAAAGCTCTTGCCATCAAGGCAGACAACCTGAATTTGATTTCTATGACTCATGTTGTAGAAGGAGGGAACCAACTCCCATAAATTGTCCTCTGACTTCCACATGTATGCTGTGGTACCCATGTGCCCACACACATATGTGCACCTACAAAATAACACAATAAAATTTATATACCATTGTAAAATTACCAATGTAAATATTCATTAATGGGATTTTCATTAGTAATATCTAAGAAAATTTCTCACTCTGTTAGTCTTGCCTCTCAATTCATAGTCTGACTATACTCTCTGGGAAGTACCCTGTGGTTTCAGAGAATCATGTCTCTCACAAGTTTATAAGCCTCAATTTGTGTAAGTACTAAGATGATGGACAAAAGGCTAAACTCTATGTTATTGTCACTTATAAGGACCTTAATCCCGCCGAACAGGATGGAACCCTTGTGACCATATCATCTCTTTAAGTCACTCTCTTAATCACATTGGACATTAACTCTCAACATATAATTTTTGAAGAAACATTCAAAAAGAGGGAAGGTGTGAGTCAGAGAATTAAGTTTTGGCACTGACAGCTTTAAAAAAATGCATTATAATTATTAAAAATTCAGTATGTAGTGTTTTCTACTTAAACAACTTATCATTAGATATTGAAATGAATGGGATAAAGAAGTGAAAGTATAGATGAGTTCCTAAATATTACTTTAAAATTTTATGGGTCTTTTGAGTCAGTGAGAGAATAAGGTAGTGATGTTATGAGTGACTTTCCCTTTTCAACATTACTATGCTTAAGTTGGGAGACCTGGGATATCTTGAAATTATGCAAGTATCATATGAGAAAAAATTTGTATTTTAAGACTTGAAAGCAACTTCGTCATTTTAGCTAACTATAAATTTTTATTGATTTAAAATTTAAAAATTTAAAATGCAGAGAATAAGTGACTGTGGAGTGCATAACCTCACTTGATACATCTACAATGCAACCCCTACACCTAAGACTCAGAAAATATCACAAAAGAAGGGGTGAAAAGATTGTAAGAGTTAGGATGCCTGCCACTAGATAATTTCTAGGCATGGCAGGGAAGCTGCACCCATGAAATTTCAACACTATGGTTGCCTAAATAGGACCTGCATAATGACAACATCAGTTGACATGCCAGTGTGGATGGGAATAATTTAACACAGTCCTACTTTTAGAACTATAGGCAATCAATGTATGCTGAGGGAGGATCAGTTTTCTTCAGGGACAAACTCCTTGGTAGGTTAATCCCAAGTGGTCAGCCATAAACACATGTATGCACAAACACAAGTAAATGGACTCAGTACATTACATGTGTACATATATATATATTTTCAGTAATCAAAGAAGTGGTCACAAAAATTGACAAAGAGTGGGGGTGTGTGGGAATAATTGGAGAGGGTAGAGGGAGGGGTAGAAATAATGTAAATATAGTACTTGTGTGAAATTCTCAAAAAATAAAAAATAAAAAAATTTATACTAATGGTCCTCAATATTTGTACCATTAAAAGTTATAAGTGACAGAGGGTGGGTTTAGACCTCCATTAGTGTAGCGGCTGGGATCTCAGCAGACCACCAGAGAGTGCTGAGCTCTGGCCTCCCTCTGGACTCCATCTAGCAGAGGGCTTGAGAACCCAGGGGACTGCCGGAGAGCTCCCATCCTGCCTCCATGTGGTGATGAGCTTCCCCTAATTGGGCCATACCCATCCCCCCTACCTGGGAATTCATGAGGCCCCTCACAAGGCCCCAGGGAAGATCTGGCTTTGGTAGGCTAAGGCTGAGATCCTAGCAGACAGCCTGAGAGGGTGGGTTCGGACCTCTATCAGTGTAGCAGCTTAGATCTCAGCAGATTGCAAGAGAGTGCCCAGTTCTGGCCTCCCTCTGACCTCATCTAGCAGAAAGTCTGTGTCACCAGGGTTGTCTTGGGGTCTCTTGCACAATCAGACAAACCATATAACATATTTTTGTGTGAATTTATTATGGTTTATACCCTTGGGTAGGGAGGGGGGAAATGGGGGAACTTACATAGAAATGCACACCTGACACCCAGCTCTGCATGGTTCAGCTGCCCGTTCCAAATCACCCGTGCCCACCCACAGTCTCCGTTAACTTTTTCCCACACATCTTGTGCCTGCAGTCTTGCCCCAGGTCGGTAAATGCCTCCTCTCACATCCATGTGGGTGAGGTACCAGGGCCATCTTTTTCTCCAGGCCTGCTGATGCCTGTCCATCGCAGCTCACAGGTTCCATCGCAAGATGGCTCCCAAAATCCCCTCCACAGTCAATTCTCTGAAGCAGGCCCCACCCCTTGGAGGAAACAGGCAGTTTGGGACACAGCCTGAGAATTCAGGGGACTTCCTGAGAGCCCCCAATCCTACCTCCATGTGGTGGTGAGCTTCCCTTAATTGTGCCATACCCATCCACCTACCTGAGATTTCATGAGCCCCCTCCCAAGGCCCCAAGGGCAAATTTGGCTTTGGTAGGCTAAGGCTGAGATCCTAGAAAACAGTCTGAGAGGGTGGGTTTGGACCTCCATCAGTGTAGCAGATCAGATCTCAGCAGACCGCCAAAGAGTGCCCAGTTCTGGCCTCCCTCTGGGCTCCCTCTGGCATAGGGTTGAGAACAGAGTGCACTGCCTGAGAGCACACAGATCCTGCCTCCATCTGGAGAAGAAAGCCTGAGTGTGCTTGACTGGAACCTGAATTGGGCTTCTGTGGGTATTCCTGTATAGCTGATCTGAAGCCAACAGTTCCATTGAAATTAAACCTGAGAGAACCTGAACCCTGTACCAACCAGCTTTACATAACCAATAAATAAAGAATATAGGCACCCAGATAATACAAACAGAAGCGTACTTCAACTTAATTCTCATATCAGAATCATAAACAACAAAAGAAATTCACATGCCAAAACCATAACAAAAGAATAATAAAATGGAGAGCCAAAACACAATGTCCCCACCAAACCCCACCAATCCTGTAGAAGAGTTCTACAAGGAGAACCTCCTAGAGATAACCCAGGACACTGAATTTAAAAGAACAATCATAAACATGATCAAAGAATTCAAAAAATTTAAAGAACACATGAACAAACAAATCAAAGAGCTAAAAGAAGATAGGGATAAACTTCTGAATGAATTCACAAAAGAGATAGAAACATTGAAGAAAACTCAGGCAGAAATGAAGAAGGAAGTGCAAAACTCGATAAGCCAAATTGAAACAACAGGGGAAAGCTTCACCTCTAGAATGAATGAAATGGAAAAAAAAAATATCAACACCGGAAGATAAACTTGAAGCAAAGAGTATGGAAAATTAAAAAAAACACAGGAATGGAATATGCAAGAGATGTGGGACACCATGAAAAGACCAAATCTACGGATCATAGGAATAGAGGAAGGAGAAGAATTTCAGGTTAATGATGTTGACCAGATCTTACACAGGATTGTAAAAGAGGATTTCCAAAAATTAAGGAAAGACATCCCCATACAAATACAGGAAGCACATAGAATACCAAATAGGATCAGAAAAGAAACTCCCCATGTCATCTCATAGTAAAAACACTAAACGTACAGAACAAAGAGAGAATACTGAAATCAGCAAAAGAAAAACAACAAGTCACATACACAGGAAAGCCCATCAGAATTACAGCTGACTTGTCAATACAAACTATGAAAGCCAGAAGAGACTGGACCAGGGTATTTCCAGTTCTACATTACAATAGATGCCATCCCAGAACACTATACCCAGCAAAAATCTCTATTATAGTTGAGGGGGAAAGAAAAATCTTCCATGACAGGAATATCCTGAAAGAATACATGTCCATAAAATGAGCCCTTCAAAGAATACTTGAAGCAATTCAGAGAGCAGAGAGCAGAGAGAGAAACAACTATACCCTGGGAGCAACAAAAGGAAATCAACAAAGATATAATCTAGGAAACACAAAATTACACAGAGAACACAAACAACAATGAAAATGACAGCATCCAATACACACCTTTCAATAATAACCTTAAATATCAATGGACTGAATTCCCCAGTCAAAAGACACAGGCTAAGTGAATGGATTAAGAAACAAAATCCTTCTCTTTGCTGTCTGCAAGAAACCCATCTCACCTTCAAGGACAGGCACTTCCTTAAGGTAAAAGGATGGAAAAGAATATTCCAAGCAAATGGCACTAAGAAACAAGCAGGGGTTGCAATTCTAATATCTGACAAAATAGACTTCAAAATAAAACTAATCAGGAGAGATAAGGAGGGTCACTTCATTCTGATCAAAGGAACAATTAATCAAGAAGGTATTACAATCTTCTACATCTATGCACTAAATTCT